TAAGCATGTGGAAACCGACCAAGACGTGCTGCCGGCCGAAAGTTTTGGACACTGCTTGCCAACCCAGCCGCTTTCCTCCATTTGCGTACTTGCAGACGTGCGTGCGGCAAAGGGACCATCACTGAATCACCGCTTGGCAGGTTGTGTGCTGTTCCGAGTGAAACAGAAGGGGTGTCGAAAGGCATTGTGGAAAGGTAAGTCATGACAACAGCCTCGCGACGTCCGAGTGTGAGATGCCGATTGCCATGCTCATGTGCGGGGACGGCAGTCCATTCACGCCCAGTCCATCTAGCCGAAGGATGCACCAACCGTTGGTTGATAGCTTTCCTGCAACAGGAGCCCAAAGTTGAAGCAATACAGAGGCCCAGTTGGTTTTCGTTCGCATCGCAGCATATGTTGTGCATCCGGCCTCCAGTGCCAAGTAACCCAGGTAAGCCATTCTGCCGTGCCAATCGCGCCAGCCCGGTTGACGGCATCCGAACATTATGTTCGGAATCCGGAGAGAATGACTGACCGCGGGTCTATGTTGCCATTGCCCGCGAAGTCACCAAACAGCCAGGCAAAAGTGACTGCCTGGTGTCTCAGTCTTGACCCAACCTGTGTACAACACGGGCGCACAGGGTTGCACAAGCTCCAACGAGTGCGCGGATGCAACAAAAAGGCGGTCCCTCCACGGACTCCGGCCGAGCCGGACATTTCAGGTTGAGACCAGCAATTCAGCCTCAGAATTGCTGTCTTCCCCAGTTATGACAATTGTGGCGGCCTGATCCCGACTGCTCACCAGCAGCTGGCCCGAGCGGTGGTGCTCCACAAACACAGACACGACGCGTCCGGACATGTACCAAGCGTACCGACTTCAGCATTCCTGAAGAGACCTGGGGTGGAGCTGGGTGCAGTTTGAGCCAACCACAAACAAACAAGAAATGCAGGGCACGCCCCCGTGTTTCCCCACTTGATCTTATGTGGGAGTGCCTATCGCCCCGGTCAGAAACTTGTCTGCCAGCCTTCACACATAGGAAGGCTGGCCCCCGAAAAGGGCAACTGTTTCAGAGGGCTCCGAAGACATGCGCACGTGCCTGCCAAGGGACTAGTGTATGTCCGACAGGGACACCAATTTGGATTAGCAAGGACCGGAGTGCAGAGAGCACGGGACGCTTACGGATCAATAATTTGCCCCAAGGCACACCCTACAGCTGCGACCATACCCTGTGAAACATGCTGTGGGGCGTTACCGCAACACGACCTTAGACAGACCTGATGTGTTGGGCAGTGTGCGCCTGACTTTGTTCGAGTCTCTCGGACTTGCGGCGCAGCTGGACACTTGCAAGTTGCACCCTGCCGTCGGACGCTGCGGCATGCAGATGTTCGGGTGGAGTTAAAGTCTTGTTGAGAGTCACTGGTTGCAACACACTGTGCGGGTAGCAAGCTCAGCCGCCATGGCGACCCGCGCTTTGGCGTTCTGTTCAGATGTTGCTGTGACAGGTACCAGAGCAAGCTTTGGTGGAGACGTTTTGTCTCAGGGTGGTGATGGCGCAGGGTGCAGATGAGGCAAGCAGTTTTCGGTTTTGAGACACTGGGCACAGGCGCTGCCAGACAGGCAAGCAGTTTTCGGTTTTGAGACACTGGGCACAGGCGCTGCCAGACAGCAGTGGCAGTGGGAGGGCAGTGACCGCGCCGAAATGTTGGGCATATGAGCGTTGAGCCGCGCTTGCTAAGGGTCTGAAGCGTGACGTATTTGGACGCTGCATGCGTTGACAGCGGGAAAGCTGCATCGCAAACGGACCCATTCAGAGTGCTGTATTCGGACTGCAGCGCATTGATTCCACCTCATCATGTTCGCGTGGAGTTAAAGTCTTGTTGAGAGTCACTGGTTGCAACACACGGTGCGGGTAGCAAGCTCAACCCTTTCTCGACCTGCGCTTTGACATGTTCAGACGTTGCTGTTGCAGGTGCTAGAGCAAGCTTTGGTGGAGACGTTTTCTCATCAGCAAGCTTGCCAGATGATCTGAACAGACGTCTGCCCTAAGCAGGCAAAGGGTGCGCTTCCCAATTCGACACAAGGAATCGTTTGGCTGTTTGGGCTGCGCTGAAGGTACAATGTCATTTTCGGCTTTGTTTGACGGGATAAAGCGTGTGTCCTTTGCATTCAGCTTGGGCGAGCGACTGAGCCTGCATATAAGCGAAACTGGCAACACTGGGGTAAACCCCACGCTGGACTTCTTAAGATCAAGTCGTGACAACCAGTATTCAGAGCTTGGCTACGTCGAATTGTTTGTGAATTTTGCAAGAAGCAGGGTTACTCATCAAAGTCCCTGCAAAATTTTGACGCTGGCTATATGGAGACGGATTCTGTAGATTGTCACAAAATCATCGTCTCTTCCGGGGAACCCGCGCAGGCGGGTTCCTGGCTGGCTCCATGAAATTTCCACAAAGCCTGGCAGATTCGCAAGGTGCCCAGTGGCAACAGTCTAAGCGGGGTCTCGGAGGTCATTTGAGAAGGATCGCACTGCAAGGATCGTAGCATTCAGATTGGTACAATGATGCCTTGCTCGATGTCAGCCAAATTTCAGGACCAGGGCTTATGTTCGGCAAGGTAACCGTGCTGATGTGTGCCTGCGCCAAGTTACATGCGCAGGCCCAACTTCGCAAAGCGTGAGCCTACATGGGCCACCGTCTATGCAGTCGTTTTCAACACAGAGGGTTGGGTGGCTGCAGTCATGTGCTGGCTTTGCCCCAGCGCAGTTCAGAAAGCATCAGCGGGCCGTGTTTGGTCGCTGACAGTGCCTTAGCTTCAGCTGAACTGGCACACCAGTTGATGAAAGGCCACTGGAGGCTGCGGGCCGGAGTGTTGGCGATCAGTGCGGCCTCTGCATGGGGCGAAGAGCACACCGACATTCGCAAACCGTCTCTGACAATTGTCACTCTACATTGCTGATCTTCCAGCTGTGTGTCCATTTTTTGTTTGGCACTTGAGTTGCTCCTCCATCAATCAGCGTTTTGCCTTTGCAGGTGTTCCAATCGGCACACACCTCAAAATTGTTTCAAGCTTAACTGGCTGATGCAACGCGTGAAGCTGCCGATAGAGTCTTCAGTGGAACACTTTGCATGAAGGAACTACATACTCAGTCTTCATGACACGCTTAATGCTGTTTGGATGAAGCGAAAGATTAGGCCCCCATGTTCAGGCTTGATGTCAGCCGAATTTCATGACCAGGGATTTTTCGGCAAGATGACCCTGCTGATGTGTGCCTGCGCAGGATTACATGCACAGAGCAAATGCGCGACGATGCCAGGCTTTTTCATGCTCAACTTCGCACAGCGTGAGCCTCCATGGGCCACCGGCTACGCAGTCGTTTTCAACACAGAGGGTTGGGTGGCGCCAGTCGTGCGCTGGCTTTGCCCCAGCGCAGCGCAGAAAGTATCCAAAACACTGCCTTAGCTTCAGCTGGACTGGCACACCAGTTGGCGAAAGGCCACTTGAGGCTGCGGGCCGGAGTGTTGGCGATCAGTGCGGCATCTTCACGGGATGAAGGGCAGACCAGTATGTACAAACTGTCTCTGATGGTGCTCAGATTCCACAGGGACTGCCACGACAATGGCTTGGCTGCGGCAAGATGACTCCCATGCGTGCTTGCCCCGAGTTACATTCACAGACCAAATTCTTCGCGCGACGATGCCAAGCTTTTTCACTTCGCACAGCGTGAGCCTCCATGGGCCACCGGCTATGCAGTCGTTTTCAATACAGAGGGTTGGGTTGCTGCAGTCGTGTTCTGGCTTTGCCCCAGTGCAGTGCAGAAAGCATCAGCGGGCCGTGTTCGGCTCGTGACATTGCCTTCGCTTCAGTTGAACGGCACACCAGTTGACGAAAAGCCACTTGAGGCTGCAGGCCGGAGTGTTGGCGACCAGTGCGGCATCTTCACGGGATGAAGAGCAGACCAGTATGTACAAACTGTCTCTGATGGTGCTCAGATTCCACAGGGACTGCCACGACAATGGCTTGGCTTCGGCAAGATGACTCTGATGTGTGCTCTTCTCGACATTCACATGGCGATTTCTTTGCGCGACGATGCCAGGCCTTTTCACCCTCAACTTCGCAAAGCGTGAGCCTACATGGGCCACCGGCTATGCAGTCGTTTTCAACACAGAGGGTTGGGTGGCTGCAGTCATGTGCTGGCTTTGCCCCAGCGCAGTTCAGAAAGCATCAGCGGACCGTTTTTGGTCGCTGACAGTGCCTTAGCTTCAGCTGAACTGGCACACCAGTTGATGAAAGGCCACTGGAGGCTGCGGGCCGGAGTGTTGGCGATCAGTGCGGCCTCTGCATGGGGCGAAGAGCAGACCGACATTCGCAAACCGTCTCTGACAATTGTCACTCTACATTGCTGATCTTCCAGCTGTGTGTCCATTTTTTGTTTGGCACTTGAGTTGCTCCTCCATCAATCAGCGTTTCGCCTCTGCCGGTGTTCCAATCAGCACACACCTCAAATTTGTTTCAAGCTTATTAAATGGCTGGCTGATGCAACATGAGAAGCTGCCGATGGAGTCTTTGCATGCATGCCGCTACAAAGCATTTGCCAGCTTTGCATGAAGAAAGGACATACTCAGTTTTCATGGCACGCTAAATGCCCTTTGGACGAAGTGAAAGGCTATGTCCGCATGCTCAAGCTTGATGTCAGCCGAAGTTCATGACTAGGGATTTTCCGTCAAGATGATCCTGCTGATGCGTGCCTGCGCTGGGTTACAGGCTTACTTACGCTTAACTTGGTGGCGGCAGTCGTGTGCTCGTTTTGCCTCAGTGAAGTGCAGAAAGCATCAGCCGGCCGTGTTCGGGCCATAACATTGCCTTAGCTTCAGTTGAACGGCACACCAGTTGACGAAAGGCCACTGGAGGCTGCGGGCCGGAGTGTTGGCGATCAGTGCGGCATCTTCACGGGATGAAGAGCAGACCAGTATGTACAAACTGTCTCTGATGGTGCTCAGATTCCACAGGGACTGCCACGACAATGGCTTGGCTGCGGCAAGATGACTCCCATGCGTGCTTGCCCCGAGTTACATTCACAGACCAAATTCTTCGCGCGACGATGCCAGGCTTTTTCACTTCGCACAGCGTGAGCCTCCATGGGCCGCCGGCTATGCAGTCGTTTTCAAAACAGAAGTTGACGAAAGGCCACTTGAGGCTGCGGGCTGGAGTGTTGGCGATCTGTGTGGCATCTTCATGGGGTAAAGAGCAGACAGACATTCGCAAACTGTCGCTGATGGTGCTGGGATTCCACAGGGAGTGCCACGACCATGGCTTGGCTTCGGCAAGATGACTCCGATGCGTGCCTGCGCCGGGTTACATGCGCAGACCAAATTCTTCGCGCGACGATGCCAGCTGTTTCATGCTCAACTTCGCACAGCGTGAGCCTCCATGAGCCACCGGGTTGGGTGGCGCCAGTCGTGTGCTGAGAAAGCATCAGCGGGCCGTGTCCGGTCGATGACAGTGCCTTAGCTTCAGCCGAACTGGCACACCAGTTGATGAAAAGGCCACTGGAGGCTGCGCGCCAGAGTGTTGGCGATCAGCGCGGCATCTTCGTGGAATAAGAGCAGACCAAGTGGGGAGTAGCAAGACCATGACTGTTACCTAAGTGTGCTTGGGGACGGCGAGGACCATGGCTTGTTTCCAGCGAGATAACTGTATTATGAGTAGGTGACCGTGACTTAAACAGGCACAAAGCATTTGTGTGAAGATGTCAAGGTCTGCTCTATGGGCACAGGATGTTTAGCCGCTAATAGCCGGTTGAGGCATGCTCACAGGCGACATGAGGTGGCTTCCCCAATCAGAGAAGCTATGTCAAAACAAAACACCGATGCCGGTGCAAGGTACGCAGCCAGAATGGCAAGCTGACGCAAACTCGGAGCATCATATATTGCTTGGATAAAGATGTTGCTGGCTGCGATGTGGGACACACATGCACAATGTACAGCTGATCTTGAATGACCCAGGAGGCCATGCCTGAAGTGTTGCCGATTTGGATCCACGTTGCTCTCTCAATTCAGCCATGTGCACCATGTACCGAAAACATAAGCAATACATTGCGGTGTTCGCTGAGCGTTGTGCCTCGCACGAGTCAATGTGTGACGCCTGTTGCAGGATGCAGTTGACGAGTGCCTGCAAGGTCTTGCAAGGCTGATGATGACACATAGGCAATATTTGTGCCACACAAGTTGGCTCGTTGCCCAAGCTGTGTGAATGTCATGGAGGGTGCCGATTCCGTATTTGCGCATGCTTGGCCTTGTTAAGGACACTGGCAAGAAACAGGCAGTCTTCCAACCCGTTGCAGTACCCTGCCTCGCCGCAGCTCTCCACTTGCTAAAATGCCGACCACATCAGGGTTTATGTTGCGGTTGTAGGCCGCATGAGTTGACGAGTGGATGCAAGCATGTTCAAGGCTGATGAAGACACATAGGAATGATGTATGCGGCTCATGGTTCGTTGCTCCAGCTGTGTGAATGTCATGGAGGATGCCGGGTTTGCGCAGGCTTGGCCCTTGCGAAAGGCACCCACTGCCTCTAGCTCATATGTTAGATGTAATTCGACCACATGCACCTGAGATGTGATGCGAGACGTGTTTTCTCCAACCTCAGACAATTACGTTGCATGACTCGGAAGCCATGAGACTGACAGCGTGCCAGCGCGTCCACCAGACGCAGGGCATCGGACGCACGGACGTGCCAAGCTGAAGCGGGTTTGCAAATGAACCCGGCGACGAGCTCTGCTTTGCTGGCGAAAGAATCTCAGGACATGATTGTGATTGATGGACGTGTGTGCCGCTGATATAGCATTGTAGTGACCAACCCAAGCTAAACAATTTAAATGTGCAGATTGAGCTTTCCAGTATTGCTTGACACGACTCGCCTGCTTCAGCAGCATGTTCCAAACAAAGGTGCAGGGGATCCCTTGTCAAAACCACCACCGATCTATGTAAGCCAGCACTTGGTGCTTGACTTGCAAACGCATACCCAATGTGCAAAAGCCTGTCTTGAAGGTTCCAGGAGCCCATGGTGCTTGAAGTGTGGCTTAAACGCATTCACATCTAGCCTGATGTCAGACACGTCTTCCATGTGAACCAGCGAAGCGCTGTCCATGCGCAGGCCCCCCAACTTCACACCGCTCTGAGCGCGATGTCAGATGCGGCTTGCATGTGAGCCAGCTTGGTTTGCAGCTGTGTGTCAAAGTACACTGTCCATGCACAGGAAGTGCTGCGTGTGCGCTGGCTTGGCCCTTGTGCAAGTCACTTTGAGGGAGGCAGCTTTCCAACCCCGGCAACGTCTGGCGTGTTCTTTGCCGTGACCCCAGCAGCACTGCGGCCCTCAAGCAGTTCAAGTGATGTTCCTGGAAGCATGTTGACCTTGTGAAGCCAAACCTATTGCGATGCGACGCCATGAGAGCGCCTGCGTGTAGTAGTTGATGCGGGAACAGGCAAGCTTGGTGAGCCAAATCACCTGCTTTTGATGGTCTGACCTGCCGCTTATGCATGTGCATCAGATGCTTCCGGCCAAAAACCTTGGGTGACTCCGCGATTCCCCAGCATTTCCTTGTCGCCCAAGTGGGGAGCATTAATGATAGCATCCCCGTAAGCACACATTTTCCCTACTGGTTCCATTCCATGTGACCATTCGTTGTGTCCAATGCAAGTCCCCGTGTCCATGTGCGCGTCTCCCAGCCTCTTATGTGAAGACTCAGAAGTCGTGCCCACTGAGTGCCTTTGCTTGCGATAGCACGCCTGGGTCTTACGTCCTTTGGCGGATCAGCGCCAACGAGCCTCGCAAGGTTGGCATTAGCAGCTCACGCTGCTCGTAGCCCTGAGCAACACTCGTCCCACGGTTGAGGGCGCTGCGTCCGACATGTTCATGTTTGTCCAATATGGTTTCGAATATGATTGTGACGTACTTTGCAAACTTCCCCTGCCATTCCCTGCCTCTGTGTTCTCGTGCATGACACGTGCCAACTTGTGAACTCTAACACTGCAGTGCTATGCCGTGCCACACCAAGACAAGCCAAACAAAGATGCACTGGATCCCGTGGCAAAAGCACCACCGATCTATGTAAGTTAGCACTTTCACGCATACCCAATGTGGAAAAGCTGTTCTTGAAGGTTTAAAGAGCCCATGGTGCTTGAAGTGTGGTTTAAACTCAGTGGCTGCTAGGGCGATGTCAGACACGGCTTGCATGTGAACCAGCTTGGTTTGCAGCTGTGTGTCAAAGTACACTGTCCATGCACAGGAAGTGCTGCGTGTGCGCTGGCTTGGCCCTTGTGCAAGTCACTTTGAGGGAGGCAGCTTTCCAACCCCGGCAACGTCTGGCGTGTTCTTTGCCGTGACCCCAGCAGAGCAGTTCAAGTGATGTTCCTGGAAGCATGTTGACCTTGTGAAGCCAAACCTATTGCGATGCGACGCCATGAGAGCGCCTGGGTGTAGTAGTTGATGCGGGAACAGGCAAGCTTGGTGAGCCAAATCACCTGCTTTTGATGGTCTGACCTGCCGCTTATGCATGTGCATCAGATGCTTCCGGCCAAAAACCTTGGGTGACTCCGCGATTCCCCAGCATTTCCTTGTCGCCCAAGTGGGGAGCATTAATGATAGCATCCCCGTAAGCACACATTTTCCCTACTGGTTCCATTCCATGTGACCATTCGTTGTGTCCAATGCAAGTCCCCGTGTCCATGTGCGCGTCTCCCAGCCTCTTATGTGAAGACTCAGAAGTCGTGCCCACTGAGTGCCTTTGCTTGCGATAGCACGCCTGGGTCTTACGTCCTTTGGCGGATCAGCGCCAACGAGCCTCGCAAGGTTGGCATTAGCAGCTCACGCTGCTCGTAGCCCTGAGCAACACTCGTCCCACGGTTGAGTGCGCTGCGTCCGACATGTTCATGTTTGTCCAATATTGTTTCGAATATGATTGTGACGTACTTTGCAAACTTCCCCTGCCATTCCCTGCCTCTGTGTTCTCGTGCATGACACGTGCCAACTTGTGAACTCTAACACTGCAGTGCTATGCCGTGCCACACCAAGACAAGCCAAACAAAGATGCACTGGATCCCGTGGCAAAAGCACCACCGATCTATGTAAGTTAGCACTTTCACGCATACCCAATGTGGAAAAGCTGTTCTTGAAGGTTTAAAGAGCCCATGGTGCTTGAAGTGTGGTTTACACTCAGTGGCTGCTAGGGCGATGTCAGACACGGCTTGCATGTGAACCAGCTTGGTTTGCAGCTGTGTCAAAGTACACTGTCCATGCACAGGAAGTGCTGCGTGTGCGCTGGCTTGGCCCTTGTGCAAGTCACTTTGAGGGAGGCAGCTTTCCAACCCCGGCAAAGTCTGGCGTGTTCTTTGCCGTGATCCCAGCAGTACTGCGGCCCTTCACTGAAGTCGCACCTGATGAGATGCGACATCGTGACCGCGGTGCAGCTGAGGCAGGCTGATAGAAAGCGCCAGCTTGGCTCGAGCAACCTCAATGGGCTGGTGAACCACATGCGCCTGCTTTTGCCGCGGCTTGTGCCACGGTTGCATCGGACGTTTCCGATTTTATGGCAAGCTCACCTAAAGGGCAAACCGAGCCATGCTGTAGGTTTTAGACTCAGGGACCCCTCGATCCAAGTTTTGGATCTATTGTAGAATTTGCAAATTAATAGTGGCATGCCCGCATCCACACATTTTGCCTTTGCAAATGAAACAATGTCTCTGGGGTCACGGTGCTTCCCGGCATGGGCTTGGTGGAAAGAGCCTGAGGCGGGCTTCAACTCTGGCTTTAACCTCGTGCCCGCCTCGCACGCGCAATGAATAACCCTGAGCAACACTCGTCCCACGGTTGAGGGCGCTGCGTCCGACATGTTCATGTTTGTCCAATGTTGTTTCGAATATGATTGTGACGTACTTTGCAAACTTCCCCTGCCATTCCCTGCCTCTGTGTTCTCGTGCATGACACGTGCCAACTTGTGAACTCTAACACTGCAGTGCTATGCCGTGCCATAGCAAGACGAGCCAAACAAGGGTGCACTGGATCTCTTGGCAATATCACCACCGATCTATGTAAGCCAGCACTTGGTGGTTGACTTGCACACGCATACCCAATGTGGAAAAGCTGTTCTTGAAGGTTTAAAGAGCCCATGGTGCTTGAAGTGTCGTTTAAACACAGTGGCTGCTAGCGCGATGTCAGACACGGCTTGCATGTGAACCAGCTCAGCGCTGTCCGTGCGCAGGCCACCCAAACTCAACTTTGCGGCTGGACCCCAGCTTGTTTTGCGGGCAGGTGTCCGTGAGATTTCCCCTTTACT